TTAAAAATTATGCTCAATCTTTATAACTTTAAATTTTATGACATGAGATAATAAATCATATGACAAGAGATTGGTGAACTTCTGTTTTGTTTCCTGCAAACTTCTTAGCATAATCAGGTACAAAAGACTTATAAGGACATAAATCTCCAAAAGAACTCATTGAAGGGAGGTTGAAAGTAGCAATAACTCATAGCAAACAGTTGTTAGAAATACAAAATATATGTATGGCAAGAACAATAAATATGACTTTACCATTTCACTAACAAAGTTATTAGCGCAACCTGACTTACCTCGGAAAGTACTGGCAATAAATATTTTAAAATCCTCTATTATATTTTGGTCTGTACCAGTCTTGAACTTGACAAACATGGTATAAACATCTCCAAACTTATTCTTGAGGTGTTGAGGGCTGCCCAGGCACCTGAACTTTCCCTGCACCATAATGCCCAGCCTGGTACAGAGAGCCTCACATTCCTCCATACTAGAAAAACAAGACACCAGAACAATGTAAGGCTAAAAACGTCTCCAGTGGAGGATATTCTGTAATTCAAACATTCCTATATTGTGATTCTCTTTTAAATGGAAGTTTCATTTGCCTATCATCAGGATCACAGGAAATAAAGATATTTTCAAATTCAAAATAGCAGAGGACCAAATCCTCAAATGGAATACCTGAATTTCCCCTCACTAGTTAACCAAATAAGGATTCCAGCTATTCCTTTCATTAGGATTCCATTCATAAGGAGCTCACATACTTGGAAAATTTATTGTCCAGTATTCTTGTCCCCAAATAACTCTCCATTTTAATTATTACAACACTTCATAGTCTTCAACCAGACTTCCCACTGAGCCACACCTGTGAGAGGTCAAGATGATAACTTTGCCACTCTCACGTGTCTTTGTCACTATGTTCCAGAGCAGGCGCCGGGCTACTGGGTCCATGCCAGTGAATGGCTCATCCAGGAACACAGCAAAGGGTCTTCCCATTATGGCAACAGCAGTGCTCAGCCTACGTTTGTTTCCTCCACTTCATGGCCAAGGAAGGAGAGAAAAAGTGGGAGAAGCACATTAAGGCATACAAATCAGTAATTTAATATACATCTGTTATTTATAAGAAACAATTTGCTAAGGTTTCCCAAAACTGAGTTGTAGGAAACAGCAGAGTCAAAAAAAAAAATGCTAGCTATATGTGACTCTGTCAAGTCATGAGATACAAATCCAGATATATAAATCAACTCATTTCATTTGAAGTATAGAAAGATGACTTTTGTGTACCTAATTCATTTCGATGATATTTACTAGTGAAATTCATTATTCTAGGAATTCCTCAGGATTACATGGTGGCCAGGCCAAAACAAAGAATCTCATATCTGTGCTTATTTGGGAGACAAAAAACCATAGCAAAATAGGGAAAGAGTGCTGCCTTTTATAACTCAATGGCTACGATTCAAATAGAAGGTTTTTGAATTTCATCTCCGCAGCTTTGTTGCTAGCATCTAAACCATGGAAAATTATTATTTCACAGTCATTCCTTGTTTGTCAGTATAGCTCAGGTTAATGTGAGTATTTCAAACACAGGGAGGCTCTAAAAACTAAGCTGCATAGTATCTCACCTCAAAGTCTGAGTACGCTTGTTAGCATGGGGTTGCAGATTTAGCAATTTCAAAATGTCGTTCACATAAGAGTTAATGTTGTTCTCAGGGATCCCCCACAACCTGGCATACATTATCATCGTTTCCTGAACAGTCATGTGATCCAGCAAGGCATCAAACTGTGGACAATAACCAATTTTTGACCTTACCTAAAAGAAGAGAACAGCATTGGACATAAATCAATTATCTCATTGAGCATTGAATAATCATGGATGACATAAAAGACTTAAAGTTCCCTAGGCCATTCCTCTAAGAGGGTTTGATGCCTCACAGAGTTCTTGCAAGGAATTTCTTGTCATTCAGTGGTTACAGATTCACCGGAGTTAGAAGCTACTGTCACGTGTTAGGATTGTAAGTGTACAAAAACGTATGCATTCAGGGTAAGTTTTCATAAAACAAAGTTTTCTTCCTATCATATACCATAGACCAGATCCAAAATAAATTTAAAATAATTAAAAATTAAAGCAATATACCATGCACATATTTATCTGAAGAGGAATGTAAAAGAAAAAGGTTAGTCTAACAATGACTCAACCTGTAAAAGAAAGAAGTCTGATTACCCTAAGCAGCAAAAGAGATGTAAAATTAATAGTAATAAGTCTGGAAGTAATAATTAGATGAACATTTTTGATTCGTGGGGTCTTATTTTCTATAATATGTCTTCATGAGTTCAATCTCAAAGGATGCCAGGATATGGAAATCAAAGACTGTTATAGAAGGACTGCAATACATAGGTTAGGTTTGTTCAAATTCTACTCTTTGTTGGTAATGATAGATGGATGGCTTATCAACAGGGTCCTACATCTCTCTTTTGTGTGTAATGTGGCTTTATGAGAATTACCTAAAAGAGTTGAGCAGAGTTGGGATCCTAACTCTTATTTCAGTCACATAGTAATCATAAAGAAAGTCTTAATACAGTACAGAGAATGATGAATATGTTTAGAATTCCCATACATTTGGAAATTTGAAACGAATGTCTAAGAGTAAACCCTTAATTCATGGGTTAAGGGAACTCAATACAACTTACAAAATATTTTAAGCAATATGAAATATATTGAAGAGGCCACTTTCAAACAAGGAAGAGTAATAAATGAGTTAAATAAATGATTAAGAGGTCAATTCATAAAGCTATTAAAAAGAAAACAGATTCATTTTCTTGAATGTTAGATTCAGTTTTTCAGAACAACCCTTTTGAGGAAATCATTGAAAAATCCTATACAAAACATATTTTGATATCTCTTTAACCCATTGAAAACTCATAACTATGATGCAACTAAATTTGAAATAAAAAAAATAAAAAATTCTACAAGAATGTGTTTGAAAACTTGAAACTGAACTCCAAATGATATCATGGTTTAATAAAAACTCACAATGAAAGAAGACTGAAAATTGAATGAGTTAATCAATAAATTCATAAAGCTAAAAAAACCCAGCACTTCTTTTCAGTTCATTTATAACTAGGTTTATAAGGTCAAATTCCTTGACAAAAACAACAAAACAGCCTTGATAAAATACCTTAAAATATTTTTAACTTTTTAGTGCATTATAGTTACACAAATTAATGGTTCATTTTGACATATTCATGAATGCATGTAAAATGTTTGACCCATTTCATTCCCCAGTGCGTTACCTTTCCCTATCCTCCCCCTCCCCACGATAACCTTCCTTTACCTCCACTGGTCTTTAACATATTTCAAAACATAGAAGTGCTGACAAGATAAGTAATTAACAGGTCAAACATTTTTTTAAACAAATATCAAGAGCATACATTAATAATCCTAATGTCAAAGTCGTGTGTGCCCTGAAGACATTTGAAGATTTAGAGGAATATAAATTTTGGTTTTGACTTAGAAAGAAAATTTAAGAATCTTTCCAAAATAAAGGCATCTATTGGGAGAGTCTTCCCATGATAATCAGGGATTTCAAGAGATAAGGATACAAAGGATGAATCTGTGTTGTATAAGTTTACAATATATGTGAAGGTTCTGCCAAAGACTACTGTCAAAGACTAAAATAAAAGGAAAGCTAACTCATTATACCTCTCAGGATAAGAGGGTTTAACCCAGGCACTGAGCCAAACCTTTAGATATAATTTGCAGTAACTTTCACCACATTACCTAATGTGTGACAGAAAATCCTGAACTATAAATTTAAAATGCTCTAAAATTCTGAAAATGTTCATCTCCCTAGCAGAGGAAAACCCAAACTTCTCCCCCCTTCATGGAAAACCCTCTTGTTTATTTGAACTGCATAGGAATAATTTTAAAGTCTAAAGAGACACCAACTTTGTTTTGAGGCTGTAGTAGCTGTTACAGCATCTCCTTGCTACCTTCCCCAGCCTTCTCTGTGGACCACAGTGACACATTCAGAAGCCTGTTAGCTAATTCAGGAGTTTTTGAACACTTTTTCATAAGTTCTTCATCTGGTCATTGCCTGTCATGCCTGTGGCCTGAAATATTAACATTTAAGATTTAAAAGTAAAAGCCAAAAAGGGGAAGGGGGGAAATAAAAACAAAGAAAACCCCACTTTTTCCTACTAAAGATTTTGGGGGAAATCTTGATTTCCCCACCCATCCACTGAAATAATGGAGTTGGCATTCCCGAGGCCAAGACCACTTAAAAAGTGGCAAAAGGTATTTGTCACCCCAACAGTCTGCTTTCTGAAGCCAGAGAAGTTATTGTGGTGGTGCATATTTCTCCTATCAGTTTGCCTGGAACAAAAGTAAAAATTAGATGTTTAATGTAGTCAGTATGACTAACACTATGCATAAGACCCGTGTTAGAATCCCCCAATCCTGCATTTACTTTTCCTTTAAAACAACAATAACAACAAAACAAACAAACAAACAAACTCACTCCACCAAGTCAGATTCTATTAAAAAAATTGAAGCATTTTACTGACCAGGCATGAGAGCTAATGGACAGTATTAAACAAGATTCATAATAAAAGAATACTAACAACCTTCCCACACAACTGACTACACCTATCATGCTAGTTAAAAACATCCCTTTACCCACCCACCCTCATCTGCATTGACTTTAGGGTAAAAGGGGCGGGGAATGATTCTTACCACCCTAAACATAAGGAAACCCCATAAATGTGAAAAAATCTTCCTCTGAAGACACCTATATAGACTGCTAGAAATATAAAGGACTATTACAGAGTTGGTTATTTAAAGAAAGTAAACACTTTGCTACACATGCCAACATTCAGCCAGTGTGCTCTAAGATAGCCTTAAGAAAAAAAAATACTACCTAAGCTCAAAAGTTAATACAATCATTAAAAGGAAAACTTTTAGAACCATTGCTGGTTAAATGATGATGGAAAACATCTCAGTAGGCTGGCCTAAAAATATGGAACACTTCATGAATTTGCGTGTCATCCTTGCACAGGGGCCATGCTATCTTCTCCGTATCATACCAAATTTAGTATATGTGCTACCGAAGCAAGCACTCAAACTCTCTTCTTTTTGAAAGGTCTCAAATTACTCTCAAATATAATGTTTTAGAGGCAGCGTAACATAGATTCAAAGAATAATTCAGGGGTTGGGGATATAGCTCAGTTGGTAAAGTGCTTGCCTTGAATGTACAAGGTCCTGGGTTCAATCCCCAACAGAAAGAAAGAAAGAAAGAAAGAAAGAAAGAAAGAAAGAGAGAGCGGGGGAGGGAGGGAGGAAGAAAGAGTTAAAAAAAAAAAAAGAATAATTCAGTGCACAAGTTAACAAGTAACCAAAAATGACAAATACCCGAAATGACAGGCAACAGAAACAATTCTTTGATAACCTTAGATATTGCAATTAGCATTCTCCCATGAGAAAACTACTATGTTTACTCATTTTAGTAAATAAGAAACTAATTTTAATGTCTCCCAATTTATTCTGAAGAATTCTAAACACAAAAGAAAACCTGAAAGTACAATGAATGCACTTAAAACCCTTAACAAGATCTGTTGCTAAAAAAATAAATGAAAAATTTGACAATATCTAAGCAACAAAAAGCATATACACTTAGCTGACTAAAATAAAAGAACATCTAAAAATGAGAAATACTATATCTGAAAAGACTGCATAAACTAAATGACTGAATTTAACAAGATTAGATATAGTTGAAGAAAGCATTATGAATTGGAAAAAATCAGAAGAAATTACCTTGAAGGCAGTATAAAGAGATAAAATATGGAAAATCTGAAAGCAAAGATATGGAGAATATTATAAAGATATCTGACAAATAACTGGATTCATAAAAGGAAAGAAGAAAGAGAATAAAGCAGAAGAAATATTTTAAAAACAAAGAAGGAGGACTGGGGATATGGCTCAAGCGGTAGCGCGCTCGCCTGGCATGTGTGCGGCCCGGGTTCGATCCTCAGCACCACATACCAACAAAGATGTTGTGTCCGCCAATAACTAAAAAATAAATACTAAAAATTCTCTCTCTCTCTCTCTCTAAAAAAAAAAAAAAAAAGAAGGAAATGTAGGATAAAAGAATGCCAACAAATCTTCAAACAATAAATATAAAATCTGCTCCTCCAATACACCATAGTGTGAGTGCTGCAAAGCAAAGACAAAGAGAAAATACCAAAAGCCCCTCTCCCCCCAAAATAACACTACTTTCAAAGGACCAAGTGACAGATAACTTTATCAGAAGTCAAAGGAATCAAGAGGGAAAAAAGAGAGGAATAATATTTTCAATATGCTGAAAGATAGTAACTGGTCTTTTAGTCACCTTTTACTTTGCTGTGACCAAAATACCTGTTTAGAGCAGTTCAGAGGTGGGAGAATTTATCTGGATCTCATGGTTTCAGAGGTCTCAGTCCATACACAGCCAATACATTGCTCTGGAACTGGGTGAAGCAACACATCATGGGGAGAAAGGCCCAGGGAGGAATGCTGCTCAACTCATGGTGAGGGGGGGAGGAGAAGAGGAAGAGAAAGAGGAAGAGGAGGACCACCATGAGAAAAAAGAGGAAGAGGCTTAGGCAGAACAACCCATCTAGGGCACACCCCCAGTGACCCATTCTCCTCCAAACATACCCCCAACTGTCTATGGTTGCCACCCAGCAGTTCACTCAAACTAGGATGAATTAAATAGGTTAGAGTTTTCATAATCCAATAATTTGCCTGTGAATACTCCTACATTATTAACCGGAGCTTTTGGGGGATACCTCATACCCAAACCACAACAATCACCAACCTAGACTGTAGACTCTGAAAAACATACATTTTTGGGATAAACAAAAAATAACTTGAAAATTAAACAATATACTTCCATGGGTCAAAAAGAGAGTTTTAAGAATAAGTTATGTAATATTTTTAATATGATGAAAATACAACTATGAAAATTTGTGGGATGTAGGTAAAGCAATGCAGAGACAAATTTATAGCATTACATGATTTTACTGGAAAAGAAGAGCAAAAATAAACCCAAATCAATATCAAATATGAACATAATTGATAATATTAGCAAGTACTAGAAAAATTGGAATCCCCAAACACTGATGGAGCAAATGTAATGTAGTGCAGCCACTGTGAGTTTTGGGTCAGGTAAGTTGTGATTCTCTGTATTCACTTCTCAGCATCTACAGTTTTGGTGGTAATGCTTGGCCCTATAATCTCATTTCTTTTATGATCTAAAAAGTTTTTTTCAGTTTGTTGAGATTTTTACTTGTTAAGATCAGAGCAGCAAACGTCTTAAATACTGGACCAGAAACTACAAGTCAAATTTATTTTTTATAGATCAAGCACATTATCTAGAATATGTTAGAAGAAGTGTTGAGAGAACTTGTCTATTCTTGACTTAGATTCTCAGGGTAAAGTGATTTTTTCTACCTGAATATCTTTCCCTAAGAATATATTTCTCTCTCCAAAATGCACTGGCTGAGTCCCCAGAATCAATATCAACGCCTATAATGATTGCCATCTGTGATCTCCCTCCACTTGTCTGTTACCTGCACTCCCAAGTTGACATGCTTCTCACAGACACTAATTGAATCTTACCTTTAGGATATTTTTGGTGATGCTAAAACCTTTAATGAACACATCTCCAGAAGTAGCAATATGTTCTCCAGTCAAAATTTGGAAGGTAGAAGTTTTTCCAGCCCCATTTAATCCAAGCAATCCAAAACACTCCTCCTCTTGGATGGCAACAGAGATGTTTCTCACAGCCAGAATGGGTGGACATTGAAAATATATCTTAAAAATAAAGAAAACACAATACAAATTTACACACACATATACACACACATGTGAATGTATGTATTTGTGTGTATAGATATGTATTATACATGTAGGTGTATATATGTATACTTGTCAAATATAATCAATACCTTGGGCCACCATGGACCTCAGAGAGTTTCAGAGGATCTACTAGGAGAACACCCGTAGACCTGTAGATCCCACAGAACCACTGGATGAAGCTAGCATTGCTGACCACTGAATGATGTTACCTTGGTGAGTTCTTTAATAACCACTGTGGAATTCAGTGATTCAAGAGGCTGCTCCACGATTCTCTGTCTCTCATTTTGTACATCTTCATCGTCAGATTCCCCAGAAAATTCTTTGGACACTGTTTCCTATGACAAAAATCAGTGGTGGATATCTTTGAAGCACCTGGACTAGACTAGTTGAATTTAGGGAGGCAAAAACAGGAGGATGATTTCTATTGAATATAGAAAATGACAAACCACAAAATAGTGTGGCCTGGGGAGAGGGAATGAAGGAGAAGGAAATACATCGTTTCTTTCCCAATACATTCTTTCCCAGTGACAAAACAGGCCCCAGCAGGAGATATCTCTCAAGTCTGGAATGACAGTCTCTGGAAAGAAGCCAAAGCATTGATCCTTCCCAAAACAAATTCTTTTTCAGATACTGACTGCTGACCCCAGACCCTCCATCTGGCCCAATAAAGATAAACCCCAGGTACTGACGGCTAACCCCAGACCACGCCCATCTCACCCAATAAAACAGATCCCAAATTCCTGAGTGCCCAAAACTGACATGCTCATTAAGTCACCTCTCAGTGTAACCTATATAAGTGCAGACTCCCCCTTTGGCCAGTGGCTCATTTTCCACCAGGAAAGTGGGTCCATCAGAGGTGTGATTCTGTCCCTGAATAAAGGCTTTTGCTAATCTGTGAAGTTTGCATCTGGCCTGGTCCTTTTGTGCTAGCAATTTCAATGATGTAAATACAGAAAGTTTGAGCCATTTCCAAGAGACTTCCTACACATTGCTGCAGCTCTCATATATAAACTTACTCCCTATTTCCAAAGTTCAAAACCAGGCTCCCAGTCATGAGCAAGCAGCATGTTCTCATCAAGGTAGAGACCACAAAAAAAAAAAAAAAAAAAGTTAAACCACAACAGATGTCAGAAATTGTGGCCAAATGTCACTTATTAATAATAAAATATATTCTAGAAGGTGTGTGTGTGTGTGTGTGTGTGTGTGTATGTGAGATATATTCTTAAAATAGGGGAAAGATTAACTATTTTCTTAGAGAAAAAGGGAAACCAGGAACAGCTTTATGCAGGAAATGTCTGAGTTAAATTGAAAAAAAAAATAAAATAGATAGGAATTTATCAGAAGACTGTATACGGGGTAAAAATGGGAGTTCATAACCCACTTGAATCAAATGTATGAAATAGATATGTCAAGAGCTTTGTAACGTTTTGAACAACCAATAAAAAAAAAGACTTATAATGAGAAGAGAGAGGATGAGTTGGGCAAGGCAAGTTGCGGAAAGGCAACTCTCAACTTGTGCCATAGTTCTTTTTTTATTTCAGTCTTGTTTTACTTTAAACTTTTTATTTCAAAAGAATTGTGATTATAGAATCTTTATAGCACTGTTCCAGTATACATTTTACCATTTTCCTAACACTTATATATATAACATTGGTACATTGATCAAAACTAATAAATCAACATTGGTTTAATTATCTAAACTACAGATATTACTCAATCTTAGTGCAAAATAGCTTGAATACTTTTGAAGGATATGGAACAACAACCCCCAGAGAGAAAGGATGGGTCCCAGGTGGAGAAGGCAAACAATGGGCTCTGGGCTCTGGACTTTCATCCCAGTAACAATGGGTTCCAACTTTTTTCCTGATTTAGACTTTGAACCTACACACCTAGTTTCCTGACTTCCAGCAGCATGTCTAGGACTCTGATGATTAAGTCACACTAAATATTCTGCTACGATTAACTCTAACCAAAGTGTATAAAAGAGAGATTCCCCCTCTTGTAACCAGTTTCCATTTTCTCCCCTAAAAATGTGCCATTCCACTGCTGCTTAATAAAGAAAGCTTGCTGATCCATTGAGGTCTGCTCCTCTTTCAGTTCTTTTTGCTTACAACTTTGAATGTCAATTTTAGTCTAAGCTATTGAAAAATAACAGCCAAGTACATAAGTCATAAATCTACATCTTAATGAATTTTCACAAGGTATGCAGCTTACAGTAATA